GAAAAAGGGAGAGGAGACCCAGGCTGAGGGCAGAAGAGGGAACAATGTTCTCGGGAAAAGACACGGTTGGCTACAGAGGAGAGTGATTCAGTAGGGGAACCTGCTGAGGTCTAAGAGAAGAGCCACCCTGCCCACTTCCCTTACCTGAATCCCGGAGACGGTGAAATAGGGGATCTCAAACTTGACCCCAATGGGGGGCCGGCCCTCCTCCTCCTCCTTCTCCACACTGGGCAGGCCAAAGTGGGCACGCATCAGGTACTCCTTGCCCCCCTAAAGGCAATGGGGGCATCAGACACACCGAGGGGTCCTTAAGACCACAGACCATCCTCACAACAGCCCCTGGAGCCGTCTCAACTCTCGGCCCCTTTCACAGACAAGAAAGGCTCCTGGCTAAGACTCACAGCCTCAGCCCCGGCTGGAAGGTGGGGTGGGACCATCTCCCACTTTTCAGGCCCTGATGAACCACCTCCCCCACCCCACCCCCCGATTCCAGGGACAGACCAAACCCTCCATGGGCCCAAGGACGTGGGTAACATAATCCTGCCTATTTCAGGTGGGAAAACTGAGGCTCCATGTGGGGAACAGGGCTTCCCAAGGCCATGCAGCTCAGAGAGGCAAGAGTGGGATGGGAGCCGAAACCGGTTTGGCTCAGTGGATAGAGCGTCGGCCTGCGGACTGAAAGGTCCCAGGTTCGATTCCAGTCAAGGTCATATACCTGGGTTGCGGGCACATCCCCAGTGGGGAGTGTGCAGGAGGCAGCTGATCGATGTTTCTAACTATCTCTCTCCCTTCCTCTCTGTAAAAAATCAATAAAATATATTTAAAAAAAGAAAGAAATGTTTAATAGAAAGTCTAGCCATTCTTGGCTAAACTGTAAGTAGATATTCTAATCATCCACTTTCTATTGTTTCCAGAAAGTCAGCTGTTCCCCTTACTAACCACCTACAAGTTTATTTTTTCCTTAAGCCAGTTGTCAACTGGTTGTAAATAGGCTAATAGCTAAGCTGATCGATGTTTCTCTCTCATCGATGTCTAGCTCTCTATATCTCTCTCCTCCTCTCTGTAAAAAATCAATAAAATATATTTTTAAAAAAAAGATAGAGCGAGAGAGTGGGGTGGGAATCTGAACCCAAGGCTGGGTGCCTCGGACCTGGTAGGGAAGTTTTACCACCATGCCAGCCTGATGTCTAGCTTTATTACCCCACCCCCACCCCCACAATGACAACCATGTGCAGGTAGATGTGGGTCTGATTGGTTATCCCCCGGGCCCTCAAGCAGTTGGAGTGGGTCCTTGCAGAGCCCCACCCCTCTCCAGTGCTCACCGGGAAAGACTTAATGCTCCAAATCACGATGTTCTTCTCGGGCACATACTTGGCACTGCCCACGCTGGTCTTGAAGCGCGGGGAGTCGGCATCACTGGGCACCGGCACAGATATCTCCACACCGTTGGCCACCGACTGCTTCTTAAACTGTCCCTTGGCCTGGTGGGGGGGAGAGAGAGTGCAGCAGGAAGAATTTGCTCATGGATTC